ATATAAGGATCTTATGATCAATTTTGTCTGTAAGATTAGGAAATAAGTCTTCTAATGTTCTGCAAATTGATAATCACATATCTGGACAATGATATTTAGAATTTAATATTTCCAAGAATATCTTCTTTCCAAAAATCAGAAAAGTAACTTTTTTCTATGTTACTCAATATGCTCTATTCAACAAAACTAAATCAATTCAAAACAAAAATTTTGAATTTCCAACACCTTACATAAACGAATTCAACCAATAGATAACAGTAATTGGCATTATCTCGCACATCTTTAAGAACATCCAATTTTTTTTAATGACTCTTTTCTTATCTGATATGTTCATAAAAAAAGAAACAAACATAAGTTATCGAACTAAAAAATGCTAAATTTAAATAAATCTCAAGAGACAAATCCATTTAAACGTGTTAATTTGCTTAAACAAAAACAGGAAATAACAATATATTGTTAAACTAAGCGAACTTAGTCATGTGCGCGTCAGTCTAGAAAAAAAAAACACTTTATACGAAGTTTTTATCTATCTGCGTATTGTGTCGATAGTAAACGAAAAAAAAAAAAAGAAAATAAATCTATTATATATCTGAACTAATATTATAATTAATGCGTACTCATGCGTGTGAACCATTGCATCATGCATTAGTGCTTTCTATAATATTGTTAAATAATAACTACAATATAAAAATTGAAGAGAAAAAAGACGAATTTATTTTTTCTTCGAGAATTTTTGTAGGTTTATTTTAATAGATGAAGAATGAAAAACTTTTCTTTTTGTAATGTAAATAATTCAAAAAAAAGAAAAAAAACTTTTGTCAATAAACTGATGCAAGAATAAAACGATCAATTTAGTAGTTCTATTTTTTCTCCTATTTTTTTTTTTGACCATGAAAGTTTGTCAATTCTTTTTCTTCGAGAGTTCTCTTTCGTATTTCTCTCACATACGTAAACACTATTTGGTAAGCAAGAATGTGAGTAACATGAATGTAGTTCTATGTTAAATTCCTGTAAACTTTGCCATTTGCTTTTTTTTCTTTTTCTTATTCTATTATTCTTATTCTTTTACTATTCTATAAACCTATGCTCATTGAGTGAAATATAATTTGCATATACAGATGTATCTTACTCTTGAATGATCATTATCTTATAAGAAAAGATAAAGTAGCAATATGTAAACATTGACATTTGATGTAAAAATCTTATTTGATAAACAATGATAATTAATAAAATATCATTAGGAACAAATAAACTGGTAAATTTTATATCTATAATTATTATTATTATGATTTATTTTTTTTTTTTTTATCTTAGACTACATCAAATCATATGAAATTAACATTTCTTATTTTATGTTTAATTTTATGTAGTGTTTCATTTGTATTCTATTCAAATATAACATTAAATTTAAAAATCTTACATAGTTTATTAATAAATAATTTTATGATAATATCAAATTTATCAAAAAATTTAACATTAAATTATACAGATAATATATATCAAAAATTTCTAAATCAAAATAATATATCTACAATAGAACATCGACAATTTGCAATATTTGCTTGTTCAATTCATTCAACAATTTATACATATTCATTTTATACACCAATAATAGCTGCTAGTTGGAAACGTCTTAATTATAATACAATTGTTATTTTTGTTGGTGATTTTACTATACCAAATATACTTACATCTCGTCTTAATTTATCACGAACTTATTTAAAATATATTGGTGCATATATTATTGATATTCAATGTAATTCTTCATATGCTATTAAATTATCTCAATTAATACGTGTTTTTGCTGGATTTCTACCTGATTCAATTGTTCATGATGATGATGATATAATAACAGCTGATAGTGATTTAATGCCATTAAAAGCAAATCAATATCAACCAACAAAAGGAACAGATGGTTTTATATTTAATGCTTTTTGTTGTGGTTCATTTCGTCGACATGAAAAAACTTATCGAATGTTTCCGAGTTAGTTTATTTTTAATACAATAATAGAATTCATTTGTCATGTACGTCATATGACATTAGAAACAAAAAAAAATGTTCACATCAACTTTTTACTTAGGAAATTAGTTCTTTCTTTTTGTCTATAAAACTAAGTTCTACTTCTTCTTGTCATCAGAAAAGAAAAATATTGACACAACATATATCGTAGAATGTCATAGAATTATCATCAATGTCATCTTTAGTCTATTCCTTTTTTGTTCATCTGTCTAACAGAATGACTACTATTACGACTACGCACAAGTACTTAGTCCTTTCATCTTAACGTTTATAACAATAATATGAAGAATTTGACCTTCTCTCTTTCATCTATGAGAACATTTATTACAACATACATTAAATTACAGTACACAGCAAAAAAAAAAAGACGAAACTAAACAACATTGACATTAGAATTCTTAACATTGTCTTCCTTTCTCTCTTCTTTTTTTCTTTTTGTTTTCATGTTTGATAAAAATGAAATATTTATTTAAATTAGAATAAGTTATAAATAATTTAATTCTCTAGAGTAATCATTTAAATTACTTCATAGTCAAGATATTTGTTTTGATTTGATATTAGTATTAATATGAATTTTCTTTATTATGAGTAGTAGTCTTACAATCAAGAATAGCTTACTTCTACTCATCAAATAAAATTATATATGAAGTTAAAAAAAAAAGAACTTCTAATACTTTTTACAGAATGACTTAGAAAATGTTGAATGTATTTGAAAAAAGCATAATCTCTCCGTATCGATTGAATGAGTAAATATATAATTAATCTTGAGTTTATTGGCTTCTTCTTTTTCGTCTTAGTTTTAATAGTCTATATTTGAATAAACTTTTGAAATATTGTATACAAAATGAAGATAAGAAATATTTTCATTGTTGTTTGTCATTCTATTGTCAAGAGAAGCATATTAGATTCATTTTGTCTTTATTAGAAATTATTGACTCGAATAAATAGAAAAAGAAAAAGAGAGAGAAATCATTTGTATATATTCATGAGTGTCTGTTGAGAGTGAAGGATCATTTTTCTAGATTTTAGCTTTCGCCGAACTCTCTTGGGAAATATCTTATGCATTATCGTTAGATAATTTAATTAAACTAAAGGATTCCTGTCACATAGTTAATGATGCTTAGTCGATTTGTTGAAAGTTTTAAAATTTAATTAATAATAATGATTTACGAATTAGTAATAATTATTTTCTTATCGTTCATTATAGTCATTGAAAATTTAACGATTATTTATTCTTAATATAAAAGGTGTCAAGTAAAAATGTGCTTTATTTTTTTTTTATTATATTAGCCAAGTTAAAACTTAGAAAAGTAAAAAGAAATAACATTCACTAGTTGAAGTATATAAGTCTAAGAAATGTTTTGATCGTGTGCAAAGTTATTTTCAATTAAGAATTCTTAAGATCTATTATATATTGAATAGTATCAGAACTCAAAGAAAAGAAAAGATGACATGTTGATCTTCATCATATCATGCACTTATTCAATAGTGAATTTTTTCATCGTAATAGATGACTAACTAATAGTGAATCAATTAACTGTCACGATATTCTTTCATCATGAAAACATCATATCTATTTTCACATAAGACACTGATTTTTTTCTAGCTCTAAAATAAAGAACATATGATTATATATTTATCACAAAGTCATATATACAAATAATTATTTCAAATTATAAAATTTTTCTAATGTTAATCGTTGTATTTTTTTTTTGTTTTCAGTGAGTCATATATATTTAAAAAAGAAAATTTGGCGTGCTATAGTTATGGAATCTAAACAAAGATCTGAACTTCTTATTAATGCTACTGATCAAATTCGATATTTACTAAGTGAAAATGCATCACTTTCATTTGATACAATAAGTCTTTATGGACGACATGAATTTCAAAATATATATGATTCAACAATGATAAAAGGTGATTCAGCATGGTATATGGATCAAGTATTATGTTCAATGTTATTAATTGATTATCGTGAACAACATAAAAATTTTAAAATTCATGAACGTGGTCGTGCTGCTCGTCTTGATCGTGTTAGTGGTATTGGATATTGGAATCGTGATACATTTACACAATTTGGTGATGCTCATTTAATTCATGATACAATATTAGAAGAACATAATTGGAAAATTTTTAATAAATTACTTAAAACTTTATTTAATGAAAGTCTTATTAATATTTTCAATGATTATCATCGACAATATATGATTGCAGATAAAAAACCTATGAAAATATTAAAAATATAAGTTTGATCATTAGTTTTTTTTTTTTAAATGTGATATGATTTTTATTTTATTTTGTTTATATTGTAGAATTTATTATGAATATTATTTTATTAAAATAATAAATAACAGTAAAATTTGTTAATAAATGATAATTTTCATATGTAGCATTAAAAGAAGATTTTAAAATTTGGGGTTTTTTTTTTTTGAGTTATTATTATCGATGTTAAATACGAATGAATATACTTCGAACATGTCTTAATTCCTTAAAGGCAGTTGATCTTATAGTATAAAACAATACTCTATATAATGCAAATGTTTTGATCATTCTTCAACTATATTCATATAATAATAGAGTTTCGATAAAAGTTATTTCTTATGATAGATATATGGTGATGATAGTAGATCATAATTTATGTCTTCGATATATATCCTGTTCTTGTTTTTCTTTTTTTAATATATAATTAAATTTTCATATCATCCAATGATCGAAATATTGATTTTGATCATGCAGAATTGATTTGATTTATACTTGTTAAATCTATTTATCTCGAATGTTTTTCTTTATTGAAAAAATTCATAAACTTGTTCACAAGACAATGAAACGATTTAAAAACATTTTCGATTTTCCTTGATGAAGTAGATCATTCACAAACAATATTTATTCATTATATTAATCAAACAATAAAGAGCTTTAGAAAACAATACAGTAAGATACACTACTTTCAAAAAAAGAAAAGTGTCAATAGTTATAAATGCACATATTCACAAGAATACAATCTTATGATAATAATATGAATACTTTAATTTGTTTAACCCTTTACCCCGCATAGCAGTTCCAGAAGAGCCACTGATAAAATAGCTTTATAAATAGAGTATTAGCCTATCGAATATGCCAATGTTGTGGCCTAATCCACCGAATGTCCTGGTTCTGGAGTAGGACGGCTTGATTGATATAAAAATCATGTGGTGGAAAATGAGAATTGAACGACATCATAAGACTTAATTTTGTTTTTCTTTGATCACATTATTGACTCTACAGAAGCAGCATCTATCTCGTACTGTTGAAGTGATAGGAAAAACGTAACGAGTGAACCGATAAAAATTAACATAAAAGAATGCATGCTTTTTTTTTACACCTATTGTCAAACTTAAGCCTATTTTACTCTGAGCCATTTTGCAACGTCTGGAGGAATTTAATTCATCATAAATACTATTTCGACTTCTCATGAGTTGAGGTCTATAACGCATATATTAACTTTATTCTTGATTACTCTCCATCTGTCTAACAATGACTACATGGTCAATTCTATTCCTTAGTATGTATAATTCGCGGAGTTATCATGAAGCTTTCGAAACATATCTAATTCAACAGTGGACTTCTTCATCAATTAATATCACACAGAAATTCTAAAAGACCTCTATCAACTGCAAGTGGAAAACATTTTGTTTAAAAAATTTCGAATTTTTGCATTTTTTCAAAATTTTTGATTTTGTAAGTCATATATCTCGAAGGCAGAGCAATGAAACAAAAAATTTTTTTTTTATCAATCGATAGCTTGTGAAGTTCCTTAGAAATAATGTCTTGGGAGTTTTTCAGTCTTTATTTTCTGTGATCGTTCTACAAATGGGTAATATATGTCCCACTTGGGAGTAAAAGGTTAAACCTATCGAATGAGTAAAGCAGAATAATATTTGATAACTATCGCAAAATACATTGGCTTAGCTCTGAAAAAGTATGATAATTTAAGAAAAATAATCAAGCGATAACTTCTTCGCAATCGATTGATTGTTCAAAGAAAAATTGTTTGATAAATCTATTGATGAATGAAATTTTCTGTATGCTAAAGTTTTAGTGAACTATATTTTTTCTCTTCAAAAATAATATTGCCTTTGTTTTTCTTTCATCTTCTGATAAAAGAATATAATCTTGCAGGTTGACAACTATCAAATTTTTAAATAGACTTTCACTACAAAGTATTCAAACTTTCGTATTTTGTTATCTCTAACATCAAAAATTTTCATACTCTTCTTTATCTGAAAAAAAAATGCAACTTAAGATTCTTTAAAGAGGGCGCCAGTGTCCATCGAATGATCATAATAAACTATATTAATTAATTAAGACTATCTATCATTACAATTCAAAATTATTATAATATCAATAAAATTATAGGAAAATTTTTCTAAAATCTTTTCGGTTGTAACTAGTTAATCAACCAAGCCAATAGCAATTAGCCAATAGGTCTTTGTTTCCTTTCTCTAACGATTCTTTGTTTGATATCAATCATTATTCTTCTTGTCAAAGGACAAAAAGCTAAACTCTAGAAAATAACAATAATGAGTTACTTTTTGAAATATGTCGAAATTGATAATTTTAAATCATATAAAGGACATATTGTTATCGGTCCATTACGAAAATTTACAGCTATCATTGGACCAAATGGATCAGGTTTGTTATGACGAAAAACAAAACATTTTGTTTTTTCTATTGTTTTTTTTTTTTAATATTCTTCAGGTAAATCAAATCTTATGGATGCTATTAGTTTTGTTTTGGGTGAACCAACAAAAAGTTTACGTGTTCGAAAATTATCTGTACGTATTTTCTTTTTTTATTTATCAATTAAAAACAAAAACAATCCAATCAAAATTTTTCATTTCAAAAGGAATTAATACATGGTGCACCAATAAATAAACCTGTTAGTACACGTGCATCTGTATCATTAATATTTGTATCAATAAAAACTGATCGTCATGGTGAACGTACTGAACATGAAAAACGTTTTCAACGTTTAATTGTTGGTAATGCATCAGAATATCGTGTTGATGGTCGTCAATTATCAGCAACGGAATATACCGAAGAACTTGAAAATATGGGTATTATACCAAAAGCAAAAAATTTTCTTATTTTTCAAGGACAAGTTGAATCAATTGCAATGAAAACACCTAAAGAATTTACAGCTATGTTTGAAGAATTAAGTCGTAGTGGTGAATTACGTGATGAATATGAACAAGCTAAACAAGAAAAAAATAAAGCTGAACAAGATACACATGCTAATTTTCAAAAAAAAAAAGGTGTTGAAAAACAAAAAAAAGAAGTTCGATTAGAAAAAGAAGTTGCACAAAAATATGCAGCATTAAAAACACAATATGTATGAGAAAAAAAAATATATAATTTTTATTATTTAAAAAATCAAATTTTTTTGTTTGTCTTAGGATGAACTTCAATTACAATTAAAATTATTTCAATTATATCATAATAAACAAGAATTAACAGAAAAACGTGAAATAGCTGATAAAAAAAAAGATGAAGTTATTAAATTAGAAAAACGTAAAGAAATATCAGATGAAGAAATTAAATTAAAGAAAAAAGAATTAGCTATTTATAATAAAGAACTTGCAAATGATGAACAAAAAGTTAAAGAATTGGTAAAAAATTTTTTTTTTTTATATTTTCAAATAATTGAATTTTTTTTTTTTTTTGAATATTTTTAGGAAGCACAAATTAATAAACATCGTCCAACTTATATTAAAGCTAAAGAAAATTCAACTCATCATCAGAAAAAAATTGATCTTGCTAAGTAAGAAAATTTTTTGACTGAGACAAACAATCGTCCTATAGAAATGTCTTTGAAGTACATTACTAAACAAAAAACATAGATTTTTAATGTATCACAACATCTAATGTTCGATAACATAGTTCTATCAACTGATGTTTAATGAAAAGAGAAAACGATGAGTATAACTTATTTTATCCTTTTTTGTGTTGATAATTCGAAGTTAAAACCATTTTTTTTGAAAACAAAGCGTTATTGTAAATTTTTTGAAATTCGCTACTAGTGTTGAGTAGTTTTTCTGGAGTAGTTCGGACATTGCGAAACTCAAATTTGGAACGAATGATACATAAGCAATATATTGTTTCAAGGGAATTCCTTCTTTTCCCAACCAAAAATCTATGTTAAAATCTTGAAAACAAAAAACTCAAAAAGTGCAACTTTTTTCTTAAAACAAGGTTTTCAAAAAGAAAAAGAGTTGAAGTTTTCCCCTCTAACGAGGGAACCACCCGAGGTGTCAAAAAGCTTTTGAGCTGAAATTTTGCCCACAAGTAGGGGATACATAGACTAGAAAAAGGGGCCCAAGTTGGGATTTGATTGACGAGGGAACATTCCCAACTGTCACATCGCTTTGGAGTCGAGTGTATGCGCATCATATAGGCTCTAATGATCTATGAATACTCTGAAAAAGTTCGTGCTGCTAGCTTATTACTACCGAGATATTGCATTTTAATTCTATGTTTAAGAAAAAAAGCCGTGGTCCCCTTCAGGCACACGAGAAAAACTGAGTTTCGAACTTCAACTTGAAACTTTGCATAGAGATAGGTCTCTGAGAATAGTTTATTATGAAAGTTTCAGATCTTTTGATTGCTCCTAGTCTGAAATAAGAATATCGGAATCTGCTGGTGTATATCAGCGATTTTACCATAGCTGTATCTTAGTATAAGAACAATGCAAAGATCTGAAACTTTCATAATAAACTACTCTCATGGAGGCCTATCTCTCTATGCAAAGTTTCAAGTCGAAGTTCGAAACTCAGTTTTTCTCGTGTGCCTGAGGGGGACCACGGCTTTTTTTCTTAAACATAGAGTAAAAATGCAATATCTCGGTAGTAATAAGCTAGCAGCACAAATTTTTTTCAGAGTATTCATAGATCATTAGATGCGCATACGTTCGACTCCAAAGCAATGTGACCGTTGGGAATGTTCCCTCGTAAGTTATGAGCTTATATCAATTCTATTGTTTAATGAATATTTTGAAGACTTGATACTAATTAGGCATATGTCCTTATTATTAGTAATAATAGACTATTAATGTTTTTTTTTTCGTTTGTTTAGAAAAACTCTTGTTGCTGCTGAAAAAACTCATGTAGCTCATGATGAAGAAATAGAAAAATATGAAAATGATTTACGTGAAGTTGAACGATTAAGAAAAGAATATGAAGATAAATTACAAGATGAATCCCATCATAGT